ACATCATACTCCTCAAATTACCTTTTTATTTTGTAAATATACAGTGTGTAACGGGACAATATGTTATGATTATTCCGGTGAAAGCATTTGTATTACTGATTTTATGAAATGTAACGGGAACGCTGAATGTACCGATGGCTCTGATGAATCCATCGATGTTTGTCCTGAATGTAAGTTGCATTTGTTTTATAGAAGACTGCGACAATTTGCATGCATGGGTGTATGAACCTGTTAACATTTTATGCTGATGATTGTGTCGCAATAATATTGAATTTAGTAACCACATGTATTAATTCCTTTATCTATTTTTGTATTTTTTCTAAATACGAGTGTTATCACGTGGTTTCTGATTTTACACACAGACAGTAATTCTACCTAAAATAGGCCTATTAGCGAAAAGCTTGTAAAATTAAAACATTAACTTTGAATTACTTTTCTAAACAATCACATAAGTTAAACACTTTTGATAAATCACAGAAGGAAATATAATATTTTTTTTTTGCGAGACGAATGCTCTGTCTAACACAGGTGAGCAATGTGAGGTTAAATTCATTTTGACTCTCTGACCCATATTTAAGTTTACCCGAAAGCAAACTCTAAAAAAAGACTTAGTAGACCTAATGGGTAAAACCGCAGCACTGGTCTTAAACAAAGAATTCTGAGACAGTGTTTTTACATAGACCTATTTAAATGTAACTTTGTTTTAAAGCTAAGCCTCAGTCACTGTAGGCCTACCGTTCGTATCTTATTAGTATACACAGAGTGTTACGTACGAGAGAATGGACAAGACTACAGTGGGACGGTTAGTACCACCGATGATGGACGAACCTGCGACTATTGGAGCAGCCAGAATTATAACGAACCTTCGAACTATTGTCGTAATGTAGATGGTACACTTGGAGGACCATGGTGTTTCCCTAGCGGGAGTGTGGCTTCGAAAGTACTCTGTAGTGTTATCCCGCCAGTTGATCCTGCATCTGGTACATGCAAGCCAGGTAAGTTGCAGGTTTTAAAAATATTTGATAGCGGTGGGTAACTGAGGTTTCAAATTGCGCGTCCATTTCGTTTGGGTCTTTGAAAAGACCCAACCATGGGCACCGTATGATTGCGCAACATTGCCAAACTACTGCTCCATAGAGTTGCCATATAAATACTCTAATAGCCGATGTCAAAGGCAAAGTGCACATTAATAATTGAGACATTGATAAAATTAAATGACACGGTTTCGACGTATTGGAGGAACATAAGTATTTTATTGCACACAAATATCTCGCCCTGTCCTCAGAACTTTCTCAACGTGAATGAACAAAAACATTACAAAGTCGGTAAACCATGATATATGAAATAACAGTAAATAACAATGAAATAACAATTATATATATATATATATATATATATAGATATATATACTTATCACTTATATATATGTACTTATCACTTAACAAGAGTGTGCGATGGCAGCCCTTCATAGCACGTGGTTCTTCTTTCGTTTCTCTTTTTTCCTCTTTTTTTTAAATATATTTCTCTCAGTGTTTCTATTGTAAACATTAACAACCAGCACTGCTACAGTGATAGTTCACTTTGGCTTGCCCTGTTCTTCCCAGTTTGTGTTGAATTGAAATATAAATTTTCTGATGTTTTGTTGCAGTACCGGAAGTACGATTGGTCGATGGTCCAACAGCATTCATGGGTCGAGTGGAGATTAAGTATAACGGAGTATGGGGTACCGTATGTGACGACGAATGGGATAGGGAAGATGCTAATGTTATTTGTAAGATGATTGGATATGAGAGGGCAACTGAAGCTCACAGTTTGTAAGTTCGAATGGCTTTGTATCTATAATCTCTACATTTGGTACCGGGGTATCGTATATTATCTTTTATGATAAAACATGAACGTCATGATTCGGACTTATTTTGGACTGGGTACACGCGCAGTGATGTGTATCCGGAATAAAATTGTGTGGGTTGGGGAAGCGTTTGGTAGAAATTTGTGGGGATTGGTTAGTGTGTGTTTGTGTTTTATATGTTGGGATGTTTAGGGAAGTGATCTTAAACCTAGAGAATAAAATAATAATTTACTAATATTTAATGCTTATATACTTATACACTTTACGTATTTATTTATACTAATTCAAATTTTTTTATACTTATATTTATACTTTTCATATTTATTTATACCTTTACTTATTTATACTTATATATACCTTTACTTATTTATATTTTATACTTATACTTATTTTATTTACTATAATTTACTATATGAATCATCATTGTAATTAGCTTATGCCATTCCTTGACTCAATGCTTCTTGAATCTCGTGAAAGACGTAAATTAATCAATTGATATAAAATGTTGCCATTTATGTTCAAGATTCAAGATTTATTTTCGTCATACATAGTACATATATACGAGATTTGTTTCTTTGAGTTGATAACAAACAGTAGAAATCGAAAACATCATTATAATATACAAGACAACAATTTTGACAATTAACAATTAGCTTCAGTTATCCGTCTCCCAACGTGGAACGATGGGACGCCTATCGCGAACGGGAAACAAACTAAAGTTACTAAAGTATGTGGCCCGGATCATATTTAAGCCAAAATTGTCGAGGAATCTGCTTATGGTAAAGCCATTACTGACAACCAATTATTTCTCTTTTCAAGGAGTCATACCACAGCAATGGAAACTTGTTAACATTATTCCCTTACCCAAATCACAGCCAGCACACACATGACAAGCTTCTATAAGCCTATCTCTTACCGACCATTTTGCTTCTAGTAATGACTTGTTAAGAGTTTACATACCGGTAGGTTATGTTAGACTTACTGTGGAGTATCTTGCGCCAGTTTGGCACCCCTGTCTTACTAATAAGAAAAGCAATACTATTGAGAGAGTCCAAAAACGTGCGTGCCGCATAATGTTAGACAGGCACTGTTTTGTACGATGATTCTCTTTAAAAACTCAACCTGCCGCAAACCCTTGACGCAAGACGTACTTTGCTATGCAAATCACTACCGAATTTCTTTCTTTCTTTGTTTCGAATTTTGGACTTCGGCCTGTATAACATAACAAAATCAATATTATTAATTTCTTTTAGACGATCATATTTTAAACTAAAACATTTTTCATATAGGCCTATTGTAAGTTATCTTAATTCTGTTTTATTTCTAAATACATGGTTTAAATATGTCTATATATTTTAATTTTAATATTTAGGTATTTGATCAAGAGTGAATTCCGTAGTTTACTTATTGATAAATATAAACTAAGAAATAATAAAGACATTATTTGCTCTCTTTTTGACATTTTACGTTATAATCATAGCACACACCATACTTTGTCCATGTTCTTAATAATACAAAAAATAAATTTAAATTTATTCAAATTTAAATGTTACTCATGTTATTTATATATCCTCATGAGTATTGTTATTTCAATGTTTTTGTAATCTAAATTTGTAAATCCCACTTCTATTTAATTCTGTTTGAACATCCCTCTCTCCCTCTGTCTGTCTCTCTTTATTTTATTTTAAAAATCAATTGCTAATCAAATGATTTTATGAATTAAATTTTTACTGATTTTTGGTATCAATTTTCAACTATATTCGTTGCATTTATTACTTCTCTTTTGTTGATCTTGTTGAATTTCACTTTTTTAAAGTTTTCAATATTTTTTCATATTTGTATTTTTTTAGATTAATTTGTAACCTTTTGTTGAAGTTAAGTTTTTAACTGCAATTCATTTTGGAAAGAAACCTTGAATTTAATTGAAAAATTGAAAACTTTAGAATACGATAATGAGAGCATATTGTTGCTGCAATTTGATGTACCTTAGAAATACTAATGCTCTATTAATTCTATTAGGAAAAGGTAAATATATACATCGGATTAATTTTACAAAATATTGTAATAGTGCTGGCAACAGTAAGTTTATATTGTAAACAATATCAACTGATGGACGATACCTTGGTAATTAAACAATTATTATGTAAACATTACAAAATTCTAAATACCATTATAATAAAAAGCCTCATGGGGTTTATCAATATGCCTATATGTTAAATTTTCTTGTTGATATCAATATTATTTAATATGGCTTTCGATTTTTATTCTTTCTTGTGGAAATACACAAAGTCTTATAATTGTTAATGTTTTTTAACATTTATGTAAAGTTATTCGAATTATTATTATCAATATTATCATTATAATGTTGTCAAATTGTTATATTGTAATTATTATTTTAGGCCTATTAAGGTTTAATTAATACAATAATTTTATTATTAATGTTTATGTAATTTTGCTATTAATATGACTGTACTTTCTAAATAGGGCATATTTTGGAATGGGATCAGGTGACATCTTCCTTGATGACATTGACTGTCTTGGGACCGAGAGTAATATAGCAGACTGCATATTTCCTGGATGGCGAGTAGAGAATTGCGCTCACAGCGAAGACGCGGGGGTCACCTGCTACCAAGAAGGTATAATCCATATATATAATATATATTATATATAATATATATATAGTATATATATATAAATATATATAGGCCTATATGTTAAAAATTTGTATATATGCCTATGTATAAATATAATATATATATATATATATATATATATATATATATATATATTAAGAATACCACAATAATTTTCAAACTAAATACCATATAGGCAAGGCCTAATGAATTTTATTATCAAAACACGGTATAAAACAGACATGTTTCGGCAAATCCTTCGCCATCTTCAGTGAAACGATTGCTAACAATGCAATATATATATATATACACACATATATTTTGAAGGATGGCGGAATTATCCTGGATTTGATGTGTGGAGTAAGAGAGGAGTAATAGGAAACAGAATCTTGGACAGAACGTCACGTAACAGGGTTTGTAAATAATAGGATAATTGGATTTTGACTCTATTTCTACTACTAATAACAACTTTTAAACATCAGGTACAATTATTATATTGATTTTGAGTAAGAAATCAAATTAACATCACATTTTACAGGAGCAGTAATACCTGACTGGACACAACCAGCTAATAATTACTATGAGTCTAGTAGCGCAACAGTATGTGGCGGAGGTAGTGGAAGCGGGTATACCGGTACTTACTCAACATATGACCATGTGATTGGGCAATCCTATTCCAGCACTGGCCCCCACAGCAGTTTTATGAGTGGGTCAGAGTTAGACTCATTATCGTTTACCCCTACTGGGACAGAATTATATGAGACTGACTCATCATATGAGCCTTCCTTTACTTCTGACAATGATGGACAAGACATATCTCTTGTTTCGACATCATATACATCGTCTTCAACATTAACGACTAATCGACAGGAATCAGAAGCGTTCTCTCTTACATCAACGAATTATTGGCAGGAATCGCCAGAGTCACAAACGTCATATGAGTCAGCTCCAACACGTGAGACTAAGTTTATTACCACGTCTGAATCGGAGAGTACTACAGATATATTTTTATACACAGAGGTGGGCAAAGTTACGGATTCCTTGCCAAATGAAGACTCTAGTAGTCCTAGTACACAATCAGACGGGTTAATTACAGGTGTAACAGAATCAACCAGGAATGTATCAGAAGAAATGGTAGGTCGTAAAAGGAGGAACATCAACGAAGAAGAAATAGCTACTAACAGTAAGATTCAATTTTGTTAAGTTAACATTTTATTCATTGTTATTATTTAAAAAAAAAACTGCAGAATTTGTACGGTGCAGGTTAAAGACGACGGGAGAATGAAATGAAGCATAATTTAATAACAAATTATTTAAAAGCACGTTTTATTTGTTAGAGGAAAACTTAGAAAAAACAATGGACATTTGAGAAAAAGTTGACAGGAGAACAAAAAACCGACATATACAAATAAAATAAATATTTTTTTGCATAAAATAATTATGCATAGTCTCAACTTAATTTTATTTATAACATTACAAATATTTCTGTATTTAAGGAATGTCTAACATCACTTGTGATCTAAGTGATGCGTTTCATTGTTCATCTGGTGAGTGCATCCAAATATGGATGACTTGTAACAATTTTCCTGACTGTGAAGATGGCAGCGATGAACTTGTTTGTGGATCTGTGTTAAACGGTGAGTTCCAAGAATCTTCAGTTCAGTTTATTCATTTTTCCACACTTAAAATATATGCAGTAAAGGGTAAAATATTTAAAAAAAAATATAGAAGTACGGAAGGAGGCCTAAATAATTAATGAAACTATAAGCACAGGCCTGAGAAAAAAAAAGTTAAAAATAGAGTTAAGATACAAATTAAGTAAAGTAGTAATAGGCCTAGTAGTTTTAAATATTTTTCTCATACTACTACCACTACCACTACTACTACCACTACCACCACTACCACTACCACTACACTACCACTCCCACTACCACTACCACTACTACTAATATATAACTACTACTACTACTACTACTACTAACAAATAACTTTAAATTAAGTATAACAGTGGCAGTAAAAGCAACAAAAACACCAGTTACAGAAGTAGAGCAGCGACATGTATATTTCGATTTACATTGGTCACGTTATATCATTTAATGTTCATGAGTTATGAATGTTGAAAAAGCGTATAATAATTTAAAGACCATAGTTAGGCTTATTTTTTTAATTTAAAAAAAGTATTGCTGTTTGGCTGCAGATTGCCACCCCGGTGAAGTGAAATGTGAACGTGGAGAGAGGGAATGCATCGCTGCTGTCAAAGAATGTGATGGCGTTGACGACTGCCCCAATGGTGAGGATGAAAGTAGGATCTACTGCCAGGAAGACACACGTAAGAACTCATTTCAGACTTTGTGTACTGCATTATAAGATTCCATCTGTAAAGAATTTGATGTTTTAATCGGATTTTCCAACAAAGCCCCAATGCCCAGTTGGTTAAGGCGTCTGCATAGACCACAACAGAAAATCCCGGGTTCGAATCATGGTTGAGGAACCTATTTTTTCACACTCACTGATTCCTCTTCTTTAACGTTCAAAATAATATTGATCACAGGAGACATTAAAAATTAAAGATAGATTTGGTGTTTCCGGAAACATGAAATATGAGTATACGGATATTTCGACTGCTCCTGCAACGTGAATGAAGTTTATTTAATTATATATTTAACCAAATTTATCTAGCGCCCTTTTCATGAATATTAATATTGAAAGGCGCTTTACATGATACAAATACAAAAATAAACAGAACTCAAAATCTGGCTTTGATTACAACAATATTTCTATCAATTAATTTCATATGTAATACATTAATCTGAAGTTTACATCGATATACTGTCATTATAATATATATATATATATACATATACATTTATATATATATACTATATATATATATATATATATATATATATATATATATATATATATTATAGCCTGCAAATTGTTAACATATTACATACAAGCTAGGATACTATAAATCATGAAAAAGTTGTTGTGACTTTGACGGAATGCGTGTAGACGTCTTAATGTTACATCTGCAACGAGAAACCACTTCCATTATTTTAAAACTTTGATCATTTTGAACTTAAAGGGCTTAAATGGAAATTGTTTTTTATATATTTTAGCATACTCACCATGTCCTGAAAACTATTTTTACTGTACCAGTGGATTGTGCGTGCACGATTATTATCGATGTAACTCTGTATATGATTGTTTCAATAAGAAAGACGAAGAAAATTGTACCGGTAAAGGTAAGTGAAATTTTAAATCTTATATGAATTGAAAGTATCAAAAGAGAAATCTTATGAAGAATGAAAAAAGCTCAAACCTTAGGCTACCGGACAGGACAAACACCAACCTTTCAGACGTCACAATATTGACAAACATAGTACTAATGTCACATTTAACTGGAAATGTACCCTTATTATCTGTGCAATATTTTCAGTGAACTAGATCTTAAAACTGAGATACTTGTATCTCCAATGTGTGTTTTAGGCATATTGGAAAAACTTATAAACAACGAGTATATAAATGAAATGTAACACAAGATAAATCTGATAAATTATGAAGAATACTCTTCTTTCGCTTACAAGGTGAACGTCATAACCACCTATGAATGCGTTGTGGTGAAGCCAGTATATTAGAAGTTCATTTGCTTTTATTCGTTTAAAAGTTATCTCATTATATTGACATAACATTTATGTCGCATTGGACTAGTATACAGACAACAGTCCGATACAAAATAGATCAATATTAATATGCAGCATTAAAACTATCTAATAGTTGGTTAAAATACATTAATCAATAAAAATCCTACAGGCCTACATCACAATAGCCTGTTGGTTAAAACTGATAGGTGACTGTGTGTGTGTTTGTGTGTGCTGAACCATTAGAGATCATGAGTTCTATTCCATCAAACTGCTCTATCTATATAATACATTCTAGGCCTATAGCACAAAGTCTGCCGGAAGTCGTTGCGACACACTTTATATAACGCACAGTACTCTTTGGAATGGTAGAGATTGTGATATGTGGCTTCCTCGGGTACGGTGATTCATGAACACTCCAGTTATTCCAGTAAAATTGAGTACTTTAATTTACTTCACAGTTTATAAACTTACTAAATTTTCTTATTTTTTTCAAGATTTCTCGCTCGAGGAAGAAACTTTCCCTGATGGATGGAATTCACCTTACACTAAGTACACCAGCAACCCTAAAGTCTTCAAAGATTTTCAAGACAATTTTTACAATGACCGTGGATTTAGTAGGGTCAAAGGTGAACACCCGCCTGACTGGCACAGTTTCATAACCTTTAGTTCTTCTCCAGATTACAGTGATTTGGAAAATGTGTTGAAGCTTGGAGAAGATGAGATCAGGGAACTGGGTCACCAAGCCGAAGACTTTATTTTGCAGTGCACTTACGACCAGAGACCATGTAATTTAAGGTGACTAGGTTTATTACATAGGCATGCTCACATAACTACACGCGGCGAATGGCATCAAATCCCCCAGACACCTTCTCTCATACAACTGACTGATCATTTATTGCATTATTCTGCTTGTTGTTCCTGGGTTTTTTCCTATTATCATTTTATTTTTGTGTACGTTAAGATGTGTATAAGAGACAGATCTTATAGATCTCTAACTAGTTTGGTCACGTGCGATAGTAGCGCAATATCAAAATTGTGACATCAGACATGTTAAAAGAATGAAAGAATCTCAGATTGTGTCACCACAGTGCCTTCGTAGTCAAGTGGTTATGACGTTTGCCGTGTATGCGAAAGGTACCATGTTCGAGGCTGAGTTATTTTTTCTTTCTTTGTCATTATTACTCTTCTGTTACGTTAAAATATATGTCACTACTGTATTTCAGTAAGTTGGAGAACTTTCAAGACGACCGCTATGGTAATTGTTACATATTCAATCATGGTCGGGGTTCCGATGTAGTCTCTAACTCAACAAGAACAGGAGCAAAATACGGTAAGAGGAAGAAATGGTAGGCCTATAAGTAAATCCTACATATAGACATACTGAGTAGTTGTAAATATTTCTGTGGATCGTGTGTGAATAGATCAGGCCTGACAATTCCGCGGAGGAGACGTGCAGCCGCTCCCACTGGACTCATTCATAGGTATCATGGATTTCATCATGAACAGAAAAAATACAATAATTCTAACAGTTGTGATGATAGAATCTTCGTTGTGTGTTTGTTTTTTGGGTGTTGGGGAGGTGGGGTTGGGTGATCGATAGAGCATTTGTCATTGCGGTTATTGTAAGGCCGTTGGTTTTGGCAACCGTGCGGATGTGTTTAGCGCAGTTCGGATAATGTTATTCAAAGGCCTGCGGAGGTTACTTGATTTCATACAGTTATTTTGTATGTAGATTTTCAATGACATAGGCTATGGCATAGCAATATACAAATTCTTAATATTTTAATATTAGATATAATTTTATTCATAGGTCTTAAACTAACGCTTTTCATCGAGCAGAAGGAGTATATAAGTATTTATGGACGGGAAGCTGGTGTTAAGGTCGTAGTAGATACACAGGATCGAGTTAAGTTTCCTCAAGATGAAGGAATCATTATCAAGCCCGGGGCTATTACGTTTGTCAGCCTTCGATATGTAAGTTTCAAATACATCAATCAAAGTTAACCAAAACAAAATTAACACCGATAATCATTGCATTATAATTATAAATATTGAAAGTCTGAAAAATTGTATTCACTAGGTTGTAAACTAACTCGCTTTTTCAAGTGTCAGTAGCCAAGACTATGTAGGCCTATTTAGTATCGGGTACATAGTGAATGTTTACTTCGGGATCTCTGGCACCTATAGCCTTTTATAAGTTGTATTTAATTGATTTTAAAGAATGCAATTACCATTTATTTCCACACTACATTTTCAAAATACAGTGGCGGATCCAGGAATTTGAAATAGAGAGGGCCCAGGGAGGGACTTTTACAGATGGAGAGTGTAGACCACGTCAGCCCCACCATGGTTGGGGCTGAGGTAAGGAAATTTATAATTATGGCACCTCTAGTTGGCCGAAAATGGCACTCTCAGACTAAATTTAAATATAATGTCCTGTTTTCTCTCACTTTTAAATTTTGAAAAAATTTAGGGAGGGTGAGCCGGCTAGGCCCCTTGAATCTGCCACTGCAATACTCATCATAAAATGTTTTTCAAATTATCTTGGTAATCATCTGTAGTGGATTCAAGGGGGCCAGCCGGCCCGGGTCCCCTAAATTGTTCAAAATTATTTTTAAAAATGGAGATATAAAGAAAGTAGTATTGAAATTTTAAGTCCGGGAGTGCAGTTTTCGGCCATCTAGAGGTGCAATAATCACAAATTTTCTTAGCTCAATCACAACTGAGGTGATATAGATTCTCCACCTGTGAAAGTACCTCCCCGGGCCCCCCTCTATTTTGAATTTCTGGATCAGCCACTGATCATAATCATGCCTGCTTATATATTTCTTGCAAACTAGCATTCATAAAAATAATGATTTATTACCTATTGATTAGCTTGTGACGTATTCGAACCCCACCCCTAAATTGAAAAAAATAGATATGGGGTGAACATTTTAGGGGTGGTGGTCCGGGTCGTCTCGGCCCCACTTGAACCCGCCACTGATTATTATGAGATTGCGTCAAAGTAGCATTGGAGTTTGTATACTTGTGGTATCCCTACTTAAATAAACCAAAATAGATAGTCCGTGTCAAAGGCTGTATAATTATTATTTAATAACGGCTCTATACAATTCAATTGACTAACTATTATTTTAAACAATATATAGGTCATAATAATATTCAAAATAAATAAATCGTTTATAATAGAAATTGTGCACTTTTGAGTTTACACGCTTCCAATTTTAACAACGCACAGTACATTGTTTTCACAATAAATTAAAATCAATGGAGTATTTACTGAGATGGTTACGAAATGTACAAACAACTGCGTTTTAACTCTGTTTTGTCTGGAAATACGCACCGCACTTGGAAAAGAGCACAAATGAACAGAAAAAAATCATGACAGCCGTGCGTAAATTGTTGTTCTTAAATGTTTTTCAAATTATCTTGGTAATCATCTGTAGTGGATTCAAGGGGGCCAGCCGGCCCGGGTCCCCTAAATTGTTCAAAATTATTTTTAAAAATGGAGATATAAAGAAAGTAGTATTGAAATTTTAAGTCCGGGAGTGCAGTTTTCGGCCATCTAGAGGTGCAATAATCACAAATTTTCTTAGCTCAATCACAACTGAGGTGATATAGATTCTCCACCTGTGAAAGTACCTCCCCGGGCCCCCCTCTATTTTGAATTTCTGGATCAGCCACTGATCATAATCATGCCTGCTTATATATTTCTTGCAAACTAGCATTCATAAAAATAATGATTTATTACCTATTGATTAGCTTGTGACGTATTCGAACCCCACCCCTAAATTGAAAAATTTAGGTATGGGGTGAACATTTTATGGGTGGTGGTCCGGGTCGGTTCGGCCCCACTTGAACCCGCCACTGATTATTATGAGATTGCGTCAAAGTAGCATTGGAGTTTGTATACTTGTGGTATCCCTACTTAAATAAATCGAAATAGATAGTCCGTGTCAAAGGCTGTATAATTATTATTTAATAACGGCTATGTACAATTCAATTGACTATTATTTTTTGAAGTTAGGAAAAACAGGAAGCTATGTATGCAGATAATATTAATTAATATATAGGTCATAATATATGACATAAAATATTCAAAATAAATAAATAGTTTATAGTAGAAATTGTGCACTTTTGAGCTTACACGCTTCCAATTTTGACAACGCACAGTAGTACATTGTTTTCACAATAAATCAAAATCAGTGGAGTAGTTACTGAGATGGTTACGAAATGAACAAACAACTGCGTTTTTACTCTGTTTTGTCTGGAAATACGCACCGCACTTGGAAAAGAGCACAAATGAACAGGAAAAATTCATGACAGTCGTGCGTAAATTGTTGTTCTTTCCACTTTGAAAAGTGGGGTTTTGATGGCTGAAAAGTGGGGGACAATTGATATGATGTCCCCCAATACTTTGAAAAATGGGGGCGTGTCCCCCCGTATCCCACCGATCGACGCTCATGGATATAAGCATATGTATTTTCCATGGTGAATAGCACCGAAAATATTTTGATTGAATTAATGACATTATTAAAAGTTTTAGAGTGCTTTCAAATAAAAGCAAAAAAAGAAAAAAAAAAAAACAAAAACAAAAACAAAAAAAAACAAAAAAAACTAGGGTATGACTTGTAATTGAAAGCATTACAACAAAGTATAGAAACATCAATAAATCATAAAATGTAAATATCTTGCATCTTAGAATGTTGTTTCAAAACTTGGAGAACCACACGGTAAATGTAACTCCGATTCCGAGAACTATTTGAAAAATTTGAAAAAAGCGTATGGTATTACAGGGGACAACTTCAAATACGACACAGCGGTAAGTTGTAGGCTTTAAAATTCTATTTTGATTTACAAGTTACAGTAATTACTAACTTAAAATAAGTACAAAGTATATTTGTATTTTTGTATCATTTGAACTATACTATGTAGTACTACTGTACTAAATGATACAAAAAAAATAAACATAAAAAATGATAGTGATGATAAAAAGTAACAATGATAGGTCTGTATCTATAATGATGATGGGAATGATGATGAAGTTAACTGTATTGTATTGTATTGTAAAGTTTCATCACAGTTCATTGTTATGCAACATTTTCTAGGGATGCGAAAAAAGCTGCGTTATTATCAAAATCAAAGAGGAATGTGGCTGTACCGACACGATCACCAATGACGCCATTGAACGATGTAATGTTCTCAATAAAACACAAGGTAAATTTAATACACACATTTTAATGTAACAATATATAGCAATAATATATATATATATAAAATGTGTGTGTGTGTATGTATATGAGTAAATAATATAGTTTAACGGTGGCGGCACCTTCTGGCCGAGTTGCTTACCAGCAAAATCATTTATCAAAGCAAAGACATAATAGACTAACACTGCACAAAATAACCACAGTGAAATAATAGGACTGATATATAATATTTACGATTGTATATGATAATATTGGAATAATATCGAATTTTAAACTCACCTCCAGTCAAGTCATCATTTTTAAAATATACCTGACATCGTGATTATTGTTTTTTTCCAGACGTATGCACACAGCTAATGTATTACTTCTACAACCAGCAGCTATTGAATTGCAATTGTCTCCAACAATGCCAGTTAGTATTAATTTTTTTTTTCATTTTTTCATTGGCAAAGACAATGAATAGAATGGCCCCCGGCCAAGAGTCTTGCGAGACCCCTCCGTTTACACTCACCTACGAGTACAGAACATTACGAAGTTTGATACGTTGTTTTCTCTGACACAGAAAACAATGGACCCATCTAACAATATGGTCATCAACCCCAAGATCTTTCAACTTTTGCATTAAGATCCTATGATCAATCAGGACATAGGCATTCTGAAAATCAATTATTCATACTCTGATCTCTTCAGCTTTATCGGTAGCTGATAAAACATTCATGTAAGAATTGAATCAATGCATCAGTATTTGAAACCCCCTTAACACACCCAAATTGATTTAAATAAATTTTATCTTTGATTTGTTTCAGACAAATTATTCTCATAGAGAATTACATGCCGTTGTAATGTGTTTTCAAAGGATAATAAAAACACAGGAAATAGGCCTACCAAATCAATTATAAATTATATGCCTTTTTGATTCATTTGGTTGTTTTACCATATTATCATTTTATTTTTGTGTACGTTATTTAATATTTTTTGTAATTTAACATGTTTTATATTCTATCAAGAGCAATGTAATTAAATTATTCGAGTCTTCTGAGCACGAACAACTATAACATTTACCTTTTTTATCCACAGCAAAGGATATTACAGCCAAACAGTATCACAATCTACCTGGCCATCAGATGTCTACCTGGTAATTAGTTATATTATATTTCTAATATAAAGGATACGATACATATTCTTATTGCATTCCTAATTTTTTTGTGAATTGATATACAGTTTTGAAGTGAAGGTCCCGGAACACTCAGTGCCACTGTAATACAATTTTCTTTATGTTTATCATTTAAAGGCTTTTGAATAATTGAAAGATTTCCGTAAAAATTATTTAATGATTCAATGATGGTAACTTATTCGATCGTTTTAAATAAGTAATTTAGTGTGAGATTTTTCCAGACATTATTTAACTATAACATTTATCTAATTTTTAGAGCCAACTTTTACGGAGTATCCACAGTATAAATGATAAAACTCGCTACATTAATGATGAAACGGCATTGAGGTAAGGTTAAAACATTATCATTGTAAGCGTTAGAGCCAGGATTATGATTCAGTTTACTAACTTCTATAAAAATCTTCGACCAATTACACTAAGCAATTCATTAAGAAAGGTATTGTCACTCTGTCTCTTATACACATCTAGATGTGTATAAGAGACAGTATATATATTACATTACAATACATTTACACTTGTATTTAATTAGCAAAGACGTAGCAAGGTTGGAAGTGTTTTTCGAAGAACTTAATTATCAAAGCACAAAGGAGGAACCAGCATATCTTGTAAGTAAAATGAACAATTTTAATCAAAATATATTATAAAAGGATTGCCAATAAGAAACAGTACAAGAATCAACAATAACGATTTCTCAGAGGTTCACAGTGTACCGGTACTGCTTATAGACGTAAGTAAAAATGACAGTATTGATAGTATGCATATGCCTATATATTTAATATAAACACAATAATGCACGAGATAGTAAATAGTAAACACATATTTAAATAAGCAATAGCATAGCCGCATTGTGAACGCTTATATTTAATATTCATTAGATCGAGAACCTAATTAGCGATATCGGCGGTACGGCTGGGTTATATATTGGCATCTCAATCATCAGCTTCTGTGAGTTCGTCGAGTTGGTGTTCCAGTTCTTGAAATATACAAAGGTGTGGATGTCGGGTGCTAAGAAATAAGTACAGTTGTCACCAACAGACGAGGAGCCGTCATATGTAACCTGACGACAATATAATGAATACATTATAAAAATATTTTAGAAATATTTTTATATACATTTATATTTTGACTCCGCCCTGTAAGTTGTAGATGAGCTAGAAATAATTGTAATGCTTATATACATGTTTATGCCTATTGCTAAATACACACAAAGAAGTACTACAAAATTATACATATCAGCGACTTCAGAACTTAGCTGCAAACATTAGAACTTTCACAGACTGTCACTTTCTCACATTACCTCTGTCCTCCAGAAGCCTCTCATTAAAGATCCTGATCTTTAATTTCAAAGCATTTTAAAAAGCAATCTACTTACAGTCATCAACTCACACCCTTCATGTTCATTTGATTTACCTGACGCATAGCCAACAAAATTATTTAGATAATAAACGTCTATGTTTCGGCAGCGAGTGAAAGTTGTCTGTTGGAGGCAAAAATGCAAACGAGGCTAAAGAAAAAAATCGATTGCCAAAAATAGATAAAAAATAATTATAATAATAGTGAGAAAATCAATACTTATATCCATTAATGATAATTATTAAAAATCTTATGTATTAAAAAATAAATTAAAAATCAAAACAATATTGCTATTAATGTATTACTGTTATTGGTCACTGCGAACATTTGATTATGAATATTGCATTATATTATCATCACTTATAATATATTTATTGTTGTAATTATTGTTAAAATTAAAATTATTATTGTTAGAATTAATTGGTATTATTGAAAATATTATTATTTATTAGTAATTGGCGAAACCGAGCCAGATATATAAGCTCAAATGAGATCAGATATAGTATAAGTCAGCAATAGAGAACCTAAGGTCGAAATGGGGGGTGGGGAATTATGATTGAGAAAAGGATTTAGGACACAGTGTCTCTGTTATATATATAATTATTGATATACAAGTATATATATTTAGGCCTATATGTATATATATAGGCCTATATAGTCTTTAATAATAATAATAATAATAATAATGATGATGATGATGATGATGATGCTGATGATGATGATGATGATGATGATAATAATAATAATAATAATAAGATTTATAAAGCGCACAAATCCACTGCAGTAGTGCTTTCTCATTCTGGATGTTTAGCTGACGTTTGTATTTTAGCTTTTGCTAAATATCATATTTTGTATATTATTACAGATATTTAATAAATACAATGCTAAAATATAAAATCATGATTTTATAATCGTATCAAGTATAGCCATGTAGAGGTTCATTATTTCCTTTATAAGATTCCTCTTCTGTTAGATTTCATTATTATTTATTTATTGCATTATCCGGCTCATTGCTTTTAATTTTTCTAGGCATGAAAATATAAATAAATAATAAACGTGATTCTATAATTATAGGTATAGCCATGTGCAGTTTTATTGATATTGTTTTATTAATCAGATTCTACTTCTGTTATATTTCATTACTTATTTATTGCATTACTATTTCTTTATTGCATTATCCGGCTCATTGCTTCTAATTTTCCTAGCATATAAGTCAAAAATATCACCTTGTATTTTCATAAATTGGAATATATATTTAGAGATTACAATGCAATTTGATGAACAAGTATCTTTAGTGACGTTATTATGAGTTTAGTAAATGATTGTCGATGTTATTATAATTTATTTTCTTCTAGCAACAAAATTGAAATAATAGTGCCCCTTTATGTTGCCCTTATGATTTTTATTTAGCTTAACTAACGTATTATAAGTTTATTTAGTTTGATCTCCTTTTTATTATAAGGTTTGTTTTATAATGCGCCACAGATTAAGTGAATAAAATATGGTGACAGTATCGTCAAGCCATTTTTTTACTCTATGATTTCTTCCTAATACAGTATTGGATTCAATGGGAAGGGAGCCTACACGGTACACTAACTTTTAAAAAAATATTCAAAAAGGTGCCATAATCATAAATTGGTTACAACTCAAAATTTTCCCGAGGAGGACACCCTACCCCCTTTCTTTGGGGATCATCGATTCATGGAAAAAAGTATGCATCTACTGTACTCACTTTTTTTCTGTATAGACCTATACCGGTACACACATGATAGGCCTATTTACTGTAATAAGAATGAGAGAATTTACCTGACCGTTTTCAAGTTTCAAGAGGGCATACAACATTGAATTTTGAAGAACTTAAAAGTCATTAAAAGACACTTCAGAAGTCGGGAAAGCTCATTTCTCGCCATCAAGGAATCAACATTTTCCTAGGGGAGAACCCCACCCCCTTTTTTTTTTTTTTTTTTTTTTGGAAACATTCTGACTCCCCGTCAATTTAAACCCAGATCCGCCCCTGATCTATAAAGTAAACAGCCAGAGAGAAAAATGCCTTCCCTTGGTAATAGCCCTTCGTCAGAGCAAAATATAAAATATATAGCGATATAAAATACATATATGATAAAATGATGGTGGTGTAATGGTTATGGTGTTCACCTTGACAGCAAGAGGTCACAGGTTCGATTCCCGTCGGAGGTAATTTATCTAATAATTTATTTATAGAACAATATTCATTGAGGACTATACTGTGCTATGGCAAACAACAAACAGGCATGAAACAGAAGTCGAAATGTAGTACTGTTGATAATAATTCAAAGACGTAATAGTTTAAAGCTGGTAACCTCGATTATGTTACTATAACTATATACTATATTCTACATTAGCTGACGATAGTAGTTACATTAGCTGTGAGGCAATTTTCGTTACTACACTGTTGAGCGCTACATTAGCTGGGGTTGATTTTCTTTTTACTACATAGGCTGTTGGTGTTTCTACATTAGCGGGGAGTTTTACTACATAAGCTGTGGAGTGTGCAACATTAACGGTTGTTACTACATTACCTGTTGTTTTCTACATTAGCGGTTGTAACAAGATAGTATAGACTTTCATCTGTGAAGTCCCTCCATGGCTCCCCTCTATTTCGAATTCCTGGATCCGGCAATATAGTTTTATAAAATGGCTTCATAAAATTTCCTTTGAACTAAACACATCGCGTACATCAAATTGCAAATTAATAAAGTTTTATATAATTGTTACAACCACTATTATCATCATTTTCAATGTTCAGTACCAAACATTTTACTAGGTTTATAGAATTATCCTCTAATAAATTTACCAATAATTGCAGTTAGTGCAAACAGAAATGTATAGTATATTTGGTACAAAAAAAATATGTTGTTGCTACACAACCAGTTGCTACACAGAACAGAACAATACGGCGCACCTAAAGTAAATGTGAATTATTGAACTTATAAGTGTAATAGTTGGATCGATTCTTGAGTGCAGTTGCTCAGATAACCATTGGGAATACGTTGCGGAATTATACTTTATTGGGGTATAAACGTCTAAAAGGCCTAAAAAAAAACAAACGAAAACGTTTACAAAGACCAACATTGGAATTAACAACAAGGGTAAGTGTTATTAAATATTAGCTGCATCAGTATATCGTACAAAATACATTTAAAAAAAAACCCAGCAGTTGTCCTAGCTCTAAAAGGCTATGCAGTCGCGACAAGCTTCCACCGCACCCAAGCTCTGTCATTTTTGGTTGTTATTTTATTTTTGTATCAAACCGAGTATTACGTCGGTTTAAAGTCTTTAATCGAGAAGAATTGTATCTACCAACAGAGCCCTGGACGAAGAGGGTATGAAGCCATCGCCGATCTTAATGCCTTTAGTGGTGGTGCTCCTGCTTCGCCACGATCAGAGCCGTTAGAAAGAGTTGCGACATTGAGAACTTTGAAGCCATTCTGTGTCCAACGCGTTCCTGTGTATAATATGGCGCCTACTGGAGCTTAATTTAATTTACTCTTTTTAGCAGTTGAATTTCATATAAATATATTTATAGATTTGTTGTTTATGATTTTAATACTTTATAACCAATTTCATTAGGCCTATATATACTCTAATAATTTACTATTTTTAATCAGTTCTTTAATCTGTGTCGACAAGCTGAGAGCCACTCGATATCAAGTATTCTTCACTTAGGCAATCCTGCTATTTAGTACCTTAGTGGCTCCTGTTAGTTTGTCGAAATGCTTTTGACTAGCATAAAATAGGCTAATTAATGTCTATCAGATAAGTCTAAATATACTAAATATACAAAATGTAATTAAGATTAGTTAAAATTTTCTATTTTTTTAAATTTCCGCCACGAACTTTGTCTTAATTAATATCGCATTTTTTTAAGTATAGTCTTTAATAATTTAGATTACGCCTATGTTGTTCGTGTTATTTAATTTGTGTGGGAAAAAACGACAATCAAACAACAAAATGTCTTAGTACTTTTTATTCAATTTTACAGGCTTCCAAAGAGAAACAACGAGATCATAAATATAAAAAGGCCTATATTTTGATGATCCAAATAACCAAATTATTATTTATAAATATTAAACTAGTTATTAAAATAGTATAGATCAAGTGGGCTGCAATGGGCCTATATAAATAAATAAAACATAACTTTTTTTAAAGACAGATCTTTATAGTCATTAAAATACTATATAGACGAACGTCTAACATTCTAAATATAATTTCTATGTAATTCATTTTATTATTATATTATTATCGCTAATTATCAAGCACGTGTGAACACGCGCAAATATTCAAATTCTAAAGATAAATTCTAAATCACGCTTATAATACTAAAAAGTTATTATTTAATTAATAACATTATAAACACGTGAAAATACTGTGTAATGTACCTAACTCTATACTTTGCTTGTCTTCATCTGCGTGAGGAATGTAGCAACTCTTTATATATATTTCCTTGCTCTGTCTTTCCAAAGTCTTCATTACTGTATTAAACACTAATAATTCATAATTCAATAATTCATTATATATATATATAAACAAATATATATATATAGGCAAAT